TTCTATTTGTTTTCTAATGTGTGGTTGTTCTATGCTTCTTCCCATTCTTTTTTAGTATTTGTTTTCCATGTATCCTTAAAAATGGACCCTGGATTTACAGGCAAAACAAAGCTATGGATCATCTGTCAGTTGAGGTGGATGAATTAAACTCAAGGGTGAAAGGTGCCAATCAGCGTGCCCGCAAGTTACTTGCGAAGTGAGAGACGATATTGCAGGACAGCAGCTTTCTCCAACGCCATTTTTTTCATTCTTGATTTGCATAGTTTCTTGGTTCAACAACTTGTGTCCATTTTAGCGTCTTGTAAAATCTATTCTTTTTTAGTGATCAAGGAAATAAAGTTTCCGAAATGCAATTTTGCATCTCTCTCTGCTACCTAAAATAGAAGGACACAATTTTACTTCCATCATGCAACCCCTTTGGCACACATCGGCTATTTGATATTGAAAAGCATACAAGATCAAGCCAAGTTGGTTTACATTGTTAGCCAATTGGTAAACAATTCTAGATTCGAACATAGAGACCCAGAATTGCAACCTGAATGTTAGAAAGGAGAACATTACGAATGTAAACGCTTGCAACTTAAGCTAACAATCAATATGGGAAGATAGAAAAGTAGGTCCTGCACAATAGTGATATGAATCCCGTACAAAGTGCTTTACAACATTTACTCGCATTTGCTCAACAGTTTTCATGAATACACCACTGCAGATTACTTTAGGCCAATAATCTTAAGCTTACATCACCAGTAAGAGATTCCTTCTCGGAAATCACCTTCCATGATATCACATTACCTACAGAAGCATACATCACAACCGTATATTTACAAGCCTCACCATAGAATCCGACATGATCTAAACAGACAGCTATGATACAGTAGATGTTAGATTTACCAGTGGAGCATTGTGAATATAGTGTGCACATGCTGTGACTATGGCCAAAGTTGTCCATGTCGAGACAGGTAAACCTGGAGCAACTTCTGTATGCACTAAGGATATCTGGATTAGATTTCCTCATTCTTTACGGGAGTCCAATTTGCCCCTGAAGCAGTGTCTCTCCTATAATGTGATACAAACCCAAAAACATAACCAATAAAAGCTCCTAGAAGCAATAAGCTGCCAACCATCACGTACCACGAAAATGTAGATTCCAGAACTTTACTGGACTCAGCACCACTACCACCTCCACCGTTGAGAACTTGACCTGAAGCCATGATCTCCACCATGTCATGCACCTCCCCATCATGGTTCCCTACATAGGAAAATGTAAGCTTCTCCTTTGTAGCGACAAGCCTAGTGTAACCAAACTCACCACCTCGGTACAAAGAGCGTGCTGGCTGTGGAAATACTGGAACATCGGGATGCTCTGGTCTTGGTTCCCATATTGGTTGCCAATCTTGGCCTGCCATCCCTATCACAATGTGCACAGGGTATGCCTCCCACCCTTGCCCATTCATTCCCAGGCTTCCACAAGTGAAGTTGTTTAATGGACAGAATCTCTCATATCTGTGTACATGGCCCCACAACGCAAGAGTCACCTTGTTCTTCACAAAAAGAGGTTCCAAGTGCTCAAGCATTTTCATCCTTATTGGGGCGTCTCTGATTTCATTGCTTGTGGTATACATTGGCCTGTGTCCTTGGACAACTACAAAGGGGGTTTTTTTTCTATCAACCGATTCCAGGTCCTGCTTCAAAAACTCATATTGCTTACTGCCTTGAAGGAAATTGGTTTCGGTTGAAAAATATAAAAAATGAACTGGCCCCAAATCAAAAGAAAAGTAAAGATTCCTAGTGGCTGGTGCACGTGTTCCTGTTGGCTCTGAAGAATTTCCAGGCATGATAAATCTAAGGCTGTAGGGTACCCCACATTCACCACCTCCATCTTTTCCATATATTGAGTAGGACCAGTCAGGTCTCCAAGGCTGTAATGGCCAATCATATTCATGGTTACCAATGCATACATGATATGGGAGTTGAGATGCAACAGGTTCAATCTGTGTGAAAAAGTTGTCCCACAACCAAGCATAGCCCCTTGCATAGCTGATGTCTCCAATATGGGAGATCAAAGCAGGCTTGTCTCCAAGAGCGTCAATATCACGGCTGATCCACTTGATGGTTGATATGCTTTCCTGCTGCGTTCGGTCAAAAGTCAAGTATGGTGTTGCAGTTCCCATATCCCCAAATAAGAAAGCTACAACTTCATTTGAGTCACCGTCTTGTGACACAAAGCTGTTGGTCACGCTCCAACCACCAGAATCACTGCCAACCTGTTAAATTTATGTTGTTCTGGTAATTAGACATCCTCCAGATGCTAACTCAATCTAAAAGCAATTGCTACAATAAAATTACCTCGATCTCACATAGCATTCATACCAGCATAAATCCATTTCAGAAGTTGAATTATACGATAACTTGGACTAACTTAGACATTAGAAGCACCAAAGTAACTAGATTTCTAGCTTAAGATTATCCCATTTTCGGTTAAACCTTGCACTTCAATCAGAAAAGGAATAAGACTAATCTAACCCAAATCATTCCTCCCGCAATCAATTTGACAAGCTACATGAAAGAAACCATCTTTATGATCTGATTCAACCAACTAAATGTTAAACAGCACTAAATTAGGACCACTAACCTAATGAAGATGTAATACTTATCCAGATAGTACAAAAGCATAGAACTCGATTCATGCTAGTGTTAAAAAATTATTTACCAAATTAACAAAATGATTTACCTGATAAAAATATCTCTTTCCCCTCCTCAAATTTACCACAACCCCATCATGAATAAATCCGGGGTCCCTCCACCCCACACTATCATTAGCTGGAGCATCACACATATCTTCCCTCTCATACCTCACGACCCGAGTACCCACAACCTGATCCATATTCTCGCGGTTCAACCCGTACTTCACAGTACTCTCTTTCCCATCTGGGGTGACAAACATGACCCGCATCTCGTCTTCCTTACCCGTATAAGCCAAGTGAATCTGCTCCGGACCCCGAGCCGGTTCAAACCCGATTCCTTCAGACTCCGCCAACAAATGCTTCGTCCCGGGTAAGGGATTCTGGTCGTGATCCTTATGTTTCGGATTGACTTCGGACTCGTACCATCGGAAAATCCTGAACTGGTATTGGGAGCGGAGATTGATCAAAGGAAAGGAAATGGAGCCCGACCCGGATTTCCATCCGGGTGAGGAAGGCAAGAAAAAGTAACCGATGAAGTCGCTGTGGGAGGAGTTGGGTGGGGAGTAAATGCCGAGCCAATCGAGCTTGGATGGCGAGTCAACTCCGGACCATTGGATCGTGACATTATCTCCTGATTTGGGAACTGTTTTTGGGGTTACAGAGATTGAGACTTCGGATGAAGATAAAGGGGTGATTAAGATCAAGGAAAGATAGAAGGTGATGAATACAAAAATCATCCTATTTCTCGGTTTCTTAACTATTCAGCTGCATCAGAAACTAACTATACACTTTCTTTTTTTCCTGGGGGATCAGGGGAAGGATAAGAGGGGAGCCGGTGGGTTATAGGCTATAACTTATAGCCTGTGATGGGGGAAGACGAGCGGGGTTTCGGTGCAGCTGATTGCCGATGGGCTACCAATTAGCCACTGAGGTGACGGGACTTGGGATATTTGGTAAGAGACTGTGCTGGATGCTGCTGCTGGTATCGGCTATGGGAAGAGCTTGGCAAACCCTGTCTGAAATGCGCTTAGATTTAAAGGTTTTTTTTTTTTTTTTGGCCTGAAGGTCAGCAAGAACGTGTACATATTTTTTTTTCGTTGGTTGAGGTCATCATCGTTGCCGCTCGATAAGCAGCTTTAGTAATCAAGATTTAGTGACTGTCGTAATAAATTAATTTGTAGTTGTCTGCTGTAAATCTCAAGACTGGAAAAGGGCTAGATGCAGAAGCCGTCTCTGATATAAAGCGTATTTTGGATGTGGATGAATCTCGTGGCAAAAGCTGAAGCAAAAACTTTCTATCACTGTACTAATAGCATCCACGTACAGGGGCCAAAGTCGAAGCACAAACTATCAGCACTCGACAGAATCACCAACAATTTATTTATTGAATATTTTACTGTCAGCCCATGATTCTACATTGAAGGCATGGTCACCTTTTCTTGATACAAAAGTTGCCATGGGCATAATCGACTTATTCATATTCCCAGATAGTATAATATAAGGTTACAACATGCATGCCATATCTGAATTCTCACGCAATAATAGTTAAAGTTGCACCGAGTCAACTAATTTTGCACTGAAATGTTTTATGTTTTTCAGTTTAAGCCATGGTTGTAATTTGGTTAAGCATGTACAAGGTTCAATATCATCCACTATATCATATACTCCTTCCGTCCCACTTTCATAGTCCTGTTTCTTTTTTCACACAGTTTAAGAAAAAGTAGTTAATTTTGTTGGAAAAGTAAATTTGGATTGCTATTTTCCTAAAATACCCTCACATTAAATATGGTACAACTTTATGGAAACTTGAATGGGATAGGTTTATGGTAAAAAAAGAATCAACTCTCATTAAATGGGGTAGGTTTATAGTAACAACAACTTACATTGAATAAGGGTATTTTAGGAAAATTAAAATACAACCGCATTCTTCAATTGGAAAGTGGACTACAATTTGGGACCGACGAAAAAGGAAAACGAGACTATCAAAGTGGAACGGAGGGAGTAGTACGAAAGCGTTTGGTCTTAGAAATTAAGACACTCTCTATTCCCAGTCAAATTGGATTTACCACTCACTTCCATGGAACTTGATCAATGTAATTCTTTTTCGAATGATTTGTAACTCTTTCTTAACTTGTATAATTTCGTAATGTAAGCACAATTATTATACATAGGTCTCATGCGAACAGCAACAGAATAGGCATTGTAAAATCGTACAAAATATTAATAAAGCTTTACTTTAAAACGGTACAAATTATTAATAATGAACTATAACTCGTTCAAACGATGTTGTACTGCTCAGAATCAGTCGTATATAGACGACTGTCGCTGCCCATTGGCTGTATATAAGCACATTTGGCCACCGAACAAATCATCGTAATTGCTAGAAAATAGATCTTTTAGATTCTTGGGTTGAGACTTGAGACGTAAAATACCTAAATGGAAACTATACAGTCTTCTGCTGGCTAGAAAAAAGTTCGATTATTTACTATTACAAGTAAGGAATGCCTTTCTTGATAGTTTAACCTCCAAAGCCAGACTTTCAGTGGAAAGGCATCCAACTTTGCTTGCCTGCTCACCCCTCCGAAGCCTACATTCAGCTGTTCGAATAAGAAAACTTTTCTCTTTCTTTTGCTTGTCCTTCAAATAAGGGCCAAGGCATGAAACGATCAAATTCATTTCTCCCGTAACTCGCTTCAGATTAGATTTGGCGCCGTTGCAAAGAATGGATATCCTGTTCAAGCAGTTGAGGTAACTTTGGGCATAGGATCATGCATGCAAGCACTCACGTATCGGCATGTTCTTTGAGAAAGTGTTGTTTTTTAAACAGAATTGTTAAATAAGAGCGCAAACTATCAAGAGTTGATCTTCTCGTGTATTTAAATCGTCTGTCTGTTTCTGAACTCTACGATCATGTATTGTACCTTACCTGTATTAGCCATCCCTCCTGGCATTGCTGACTCGGAACTTCTTGTCTAGGACGAAATATCCTAATTTACCCCGGGGAAGCAGCTCGGCAGGAAAAGATGGCACACCACCACCCCAGAAAACTCAATCGTTCAAAGGAGGTATATCTTGAAATCAAATCCGTCCGTATTTTTCTCAATTATGAGAGTTCCTATTTTATATTCAGTTCTTTCTTTTCCTTCTTTTGCTTTCTGTTCAATAGTTTTGGAACTTGAAAAATAAGAAAACTATTTGAGTTGAAAATGACTCCTTTCTGTTGTGAGGACAAAAATGACCCATCTGGGAATTTTGAAAGCAAAATTAGAGGGAAAGGAATCGTTGGTGTATTATGCTACAGTAATTACTCAACCAACCCGAGTCTTGCAGAGAGAAAAAGAAGTCAGAGCTGGTTGCGGAGGCAGTTTTCTGGATCCATGAGCAGAGGCAATGAGTCAACCAACGAAGAGGAGTATCATACTGCAGTTGCAGCAGCTGCCTTTGCTGTTAAATCTCTTGAAGAATCAAGAACAAGAGATGAGAGAAGGGGGCTTAGCATTCGAGATGCAGCCCTTCCTAAGATCAAGAGCAGCACAGAAGACAAAGCTTCTGTGCCTGACAGTCGCACAAAATCCATAAAATTCTCAGGTGGGTTGGAAGACATTAGGGGAAAACTAAAGGGTACAATATTCGCAACGTAAAAGATTTGAGTACCCAAGAATGTTTTTACTGGTGGAGGCAAGATTCAGGACTAAATTTGTGTGAATTTACGGGGAAAGAGTATCTCCTACCATTCCTTAACTATTTCTTGTGCAACAGGTGAAGTTGCAATGCCAAACTTGGATGATCCTGACAGGAGGGTTCAGATAAGCACAGAAGCGAGTGAAAAAATGCCCGAAAAAGCAGTTGTCCCTGTCCCACCAATCAAGAAGAAGCTGTCCTTTGCGGATACTCAACCTGAAGTTGCATTGCGTAGCAGGGAGGCCATTAAACCCACTAAAAAAGCTTCAAGTTTCGACAGAACATTCAGTAAAAAGCCAGAGATCAAAGAGCCAAAGCTGGAACCTGGTGACACCACCATTAGGCAGAGTCCAAAGAAGCCAGGAAAAGGAGATACTCGGGCGGATGTTTGGGAGGAGGACAAAATGGCTAGGATAAATGAAAAGTATGTAAATCATTTCTTCTAATTAATAGGAAAAGAAAAGGAAAAAAAAAAAAGAAGAAAAAGAAATTAACTCCATCTTTAGAGTACCTTGGGAAGTTCCTTTAATATGTATCCATTTAGATAGGTATCAGTTTGTCAGCTAATAAACCTTTTCAGGTATGAGAAGAAGAGGGTCAAAATTCTCGAGTTGGAGGAGGAGGAGAAGAAGGCGGCAAAACGTCGATTAGAAAGAACAGAGGTTCTAATTTCAGTCCAACATCTATTTTGCCAGAAAACAAGTAATACTGATGAAATGGATCTAAGCTATGAACTAAAATGTTTCAGGCTGAATTGGACAAAAGAAGAGCGAGAGCAACGCACCACTACCGTAGTGAACTTGAGAGAATTGAAAGCATTGCCAGAGGAGCAAGGTCTCATGCTACAGAAAATCAAAGATATGAAGAGTCCAAGGTGAAAGAAAAAGCAAGCAAGTTCAGAATGACAGGAAAACTTCCGGCGGCATTTTGGTGCTTCTAAAGATTTAGCACTAAAGATTTAACACAGCAACTGAATATTCTTTGGACAAAGTTTCTAACGATTGATCTATATGTCGCATCCTTTTATTTTCTTATGAAATTGTATGAATGCTGGGCTTGGATTCTTATGTTTACCTGTTCATCAGTGAGTATATTCGTTTTTGTCCATATACAAAACTTCAAAGACATGGAATTTACAGTGGCAATGTATATGAACGCTGAATACCGATTCGTTTCCTTGTTGGCAATTATAGCGATAACTTAGTTCGAGAATGGAAAACTCTAAAATTTGTTATCAGCATCACACAAGTGTCCTGTCTGTCAAAGAAAATAAGGAAACTCTGGATGTATTACTTAAAATATATATATATATATACACAATGTACTTTACCAACACTACCGGATCACCATTATGGGGTAAGAACAGGAAGATATGGCAAATGCTTGGATGAAGGAAAAAGGTCCACAAGGAATGGCTGTCCAATCCAGAAAAGATCATCTACCAAATGCTGAGTTATTTTTTGGTAACCAAGGAGACATATGGTATTATAAATCTCGAAGCACATCCACTACGATCCAACAGAAAGAAACTTTTTTTGGGGGGGGGGGGGGGGGGGGTGGTGTTTAACTCCTTACCAAGCAGCTGCATCCGAAATGTCTTATGCGTATGTCCTCTGATCAATAATCCTTCATGTGATCAATATCCACTATGCTATCCGACTAAATATCTTCTGTAAGAATGGCAGAAAGAAAGTTTTCGCAACTCCATCCCTAGTATATTACATCAGAAATGTCTTTTGCATATGTCTCTCATGAAAAACTCTTCTTCTGATCACTACCCACCATTATAGTGGGGGCAATGGGGAAGAAGTCCTTGAATTAAATCAGTCGGTTCAAATGTTCAACAGAAAAATCGGCCTCAACCCACTGTTGTCCAACTCATTATAGGAATAGAAATATCGAGTCAAGAAACGGGTTCCTCGCTTTCCTTTTAAACAGGAACCAACCAATATCAAATCTAAAATTACACAATAAAAACTCTTCAGAAAATCCCTCCATTACACAAACAACAGATATTTACAGCACCCAACACTAAACTCAAATCCAAGCAAAGACTGTGATAAGCCTACACATAATGGGCAGAAGACACATTAACAAACAGCCATGGCAGTGTGGAATTACACAATCAAAGAAACAAACTAAACAAAAGAGTTCCATAAACAACAGAAGGATTGATAAATAAAAATCATGAGGTAATTTCTCTTGCCAGCCAATCCAAAGCAGGATACGCAAAATATAACACTAGAAAAGCTGGAAGAGCGAAGACAATTGTGATCAGCAGGTAAAGCATCAGGATGGCAGCACTAGAGGGTAATGCAAATAGAACAATCAGAAGGAAAACGATGACCAATGGAAACTTTGCCGAAAACTGAAGGAAGTAATCTAGAGATTTTTGAAAGGAAAACTGGGGCCTTTCCAGATTGTTGGTGTTGCCCACAGGATCATCATTGCTGTTAGACCCTGAAATGCCCAGACGGTGGAACCTTCTATGCACAATATTGGATGTGGGATTTCCCATCACTGAAGTACATCTTGGAGACCATACCTGAGGATCTGCACAAATGGAGGAAGAGGACTTCACCCTGTCACCATTTCTGCTTTCAACCATCCAAAGGAGAAAGAAATTTTTGCTGGGAAATTTCAGATTCCCCTTATAAATCAGTCGAAATGTCAACAGATTGCACCACGGGCAGGAAATGAACAATGGAATCTGAATCTGTTGAGTGGAGAATTTCAAAGCAGCCCACTTAAGTCCTAGGACACAATTCTTGCATAGCGTGTGGCCACACCATAAGACATAAGGAACATTCTCCACAATGTTAAAAGACTCCCAGCATATTGGACATTCCAGCCCTTCTTCAGCACTGGAATTGGAACAGACCTCATCATCTGAGGAATCTTCTATGCATACCAGACTCTCACTCGAAGTAACCTTCTTCTGCCCAAAGCTTCCAAAGGCATTTGCAAGAGATTTCCACATAATGGCAAAACGCAACCCTGACAAATGATAAGTAATTACTATCAAAAGCTTCTACTGTAAAATGAGGCAAAATCCATAATTTCTAAGTAGAAAATATGGATCAGATCCTAGCAATAGACCTGCACCACAAAGTCAACCACTTATTACATAGACAAGAGTGGCTCTCCCCATGCTTCTTCAAGCAAACATGCAACAAATGCCAGAGCAAAGAGTGACTACTAAAAAGTTTCTCGTAATATAAAAAACAAATTTTACAAGCAGGAAAAAGCCTGCACAAATGACCGGAAATTGACTGCAAAACAGCAAATGCAACATCATTTACGAGTTGATTACTAAGATGGTAAATAATGAACACATTTACAAGGAAAGACAAGTTTTTTGAGTTAAAAGTCAACGTAAAAAGACTTCCATGATTTTGCTACCATACATCTTGTACAATTTTCAGATAACATAGAATACAAACCTGCTAATTTTACTTTACACACTTGCAACAAAAATCTATAGCCATACCGATACTCGACTCATAACGTCCAAATGCATCTTAATTATGTCAATTGCTTCAAACATGGGCTCTGCTAAAGATTCATAATTCGACGTACTGTTTTCTCTCCGTACTATGTCTTCGTAGGCTTACAATAATCAATCCAAATGTCCCTTATACACAATACTGACATTTCCATCAGAAAGCTCAAGGGAATGAACAGTCAGTTATCAAGCGAAAGCTCAAATTAACTTTCCAAGGAAACCCCAGAAGACAATGCAAAACCAAAACATATGTCTTAAGCAAAAATACAGTAAAACGCAGAATTTCTCAAGCAAAAAGCCCTTAGCATTATATGAACTCCATCACCCAAAAGAGCAACCCTTACAACTGTCCTAGCTTGAAACACATTTCTGCTATCTCACATTCTTTCTTCTCCCCAACTTGATAATTTCTTTACCTTTCACCTCAAGGGCAAAAAGAAAAAAAGACACAAAATAAAACAATAATCAACGTGCATGTACGCATATAACAGAGAAAATCCTATAGGTCAAGACCCTTTGTCTTTTTTGGGGAATCATCTAGTGTCCCAGATTAAAATAACACAAAGGAGCAAAAATTGCGGATGAAAAAATGGGCTAATGGCCAAGCAGAAAAATCCTAACTTGGGTAAAAGCTATGAGAAATTGTAATCATCGCTGACAAATGAGCACCGCAACAATAGCTATCCGTATGTGAATAAAAAGGTGAAAAATGAACAAAAACTTACTGGGATGCGACGATCGCGAGGAAAAACTGAAAAAAGAGGAGAGATCAGAAGAGAAAGCAACTCTCTTCGTCTCTTCTCTCCTCTCCTCTCTCCCTCTCTCTGTCGCTGTCGTATGCGAACCGGGAGAGAAATTTTTTTTTTTGCGGAGTTATTTAGTCGAGGGATTAATTGTAGAAGCTCCGGACGGCGTCGTTAAGTGATGTTTTCACAGTGTTGTCATTTGCTAACGATGTCGTTTGGTCCGTGTGAAGTCAACGATGGTAGAAGAGCGGTAAATCAGGGGTCCGGTCCTGCCCGCTGCCCAGCTGGGCCCATGATGACTTTATGAGCCGGTAGTTACTCCGTTTGGTATAGTTAAAGGATTTCATTAATCTCTAATTTATTTCTGTCTTTGATAAGAATTTTTTACTAACATTAGATACGTTGAATATGTACCAGAGTTGGAAGCTACCCGTTTATATTACTATTTTTAAGATTTAAAAAAAAAATTGTCGTGTAACGATTTAATATCTGTGAGAATCAAAAAAAATGATCAAGAAATATATTCGTAAAAAATGTAAAATTTTTTCTGCAAAAAACTATAATCCGAACGAGGATTAATAGAAAATTTTAGCCAAAAAAAAAAGAAAATAATTTTAGGGCCTCAAAATCCCCTTGATTACTTCGAAATTGTTACTTCTTTGATGATGAACAAACATGATTTTTTTTTTCTCCGAAACGTTAGAAATTTTATATCACAACCAAACTATACAAAGTTGGAGCAAGGGCTCCCATTTTTACATCAGTGCATTTAGCACTGTGGGGTGGAGTAATTCCACTCCATGTCACAAACATGATGCTTTTGGTTAACTTCTTGGAAAAATTTTACACTTATTAAAATCTAGGCTTTACATTAAGTAGATTACCAAAAACTACTAGGTAGGGAAGTCTTCTTGTGCGCTAGTCTTACTGGTCTCAACAGATGAAGTTGCAACTACTGCAAAGATTATTAGACTTGCAAATTGAAAAAACCAAGATACAGATAACCAAAAGGTTGGGGAGGAAAGTTGCACGATATATTACAAGTTACCATTGAAGATTGGCTTAGATGGAAGATCTGTCGCGGAAAAATCCCAAAGATGCAAAATGAATCCAATTTGTAGATTAGCTTAAGGGGGGAAGCATCTCCTATAATCCATTTCTTCCCCTTGTTTATGATCAGAAGTTTCAAACCTTGCCAGGTTGTCTTAATTAGAGATTCTTTGGACCATCTACCTGATTGATTGATTTTAGTTACCTCCTTTTCGATCATTACCAAAAGAAGATAAGGCTGGAAGTGAAGAGAAACGAAACATCAAGAAGCTAGCTAAATAGGATAGCTAGCATGCAGCTGTGCAGCATCAAGGCCCTTCATCACTACACAAATTCTAAATCTGGAAGATGCATGGAAAATACTACAAATTTTGTAATACAATTACAACAACAGGCCATCTGACATCACAAATCGCATTTACACACATACATTACACATCACACCAATTGATTTTAGTTTGGTATCAATACACTCTTGAGAATTGCAAAGAAAAACACGCACACATTATAAACATATATGACACCACCATCAAACTTGAAAGATAAAAAATCAAGGACAAAAGCTGGCATGCTTGCTACTATAAACAGATGGCTTTGATCAGGTGATATATAACTGGCTGAAATCATCAGTTTTTCCCCAAGAAACCTCCAGCCATCTTCAGTAAATCTCCTCCATCAGTTTTGCTGCCTTCAGAATCAGATGGTTTGCTCAAGTATCCCTCAGCCAATTTAGCATACTGCCCAATCCCTCCAGATTCTCCTTTCTCACCTTCAGCTGATTCCGCCTCTTTCTTCAAGAATCCCCCAGCAGCCTTAGCACAGTCTCCTAACCCACCCGTCTTCTCCTCTGAATCAGTGGTGGGCTTTGCTGACTCACTCGGCTCTTCTTCCTTTTTAGGTTCTTCGGTAGTAGTGCGCGCGGGAGCTGATTCACTAGCCGGCTCTTCAACTTCTTCTTTCTCAGCTGTAGGCTTAGGCTCTTCAGAAGTAACTGGCTCTTTAGTTTCTTCTGTCTCAGGTGTAGCTTTAGGCTCTTCTTCTAGTTTCTCAGCCTTAGGCTCGTCAGAAGTGGGCTTGGCCGATTCCACCGGCTCTTCTTCTTTCTCAGATGAGGGTTTAGTTTGTTCAGAAGCTTTTGGCTTTGTAGAATGAGAAGTTTCATATTCATGAAGATAATTCCCAGCTTTGTCAACGTAGCTTCCAACTCCACTAGTCTTGTCAAGCTTCCCATAATTTTGGGCAGCATCAAGAAGATCAGCAGCTGCCCCAGCAACCTCAGCATTATCATGTTTTTTCTCTGCAGGTTCATTCTGAAGGGTGGATCTTGCTGCATCAGCCACCACCTTAGCACTTGAGAGCAGACTACTGTTTTCTTCGGATGCTGGGGCTGATTTGTCAGTAGTTTCAGCCTTGGTTTGGGGATTGGCCGAGTCAGTAAATTTCTTCAAAAAATCCATCTTGGGATGGCTTGTTTTTGGGTGATGGTGCACAGAAGACAAGCTTAATTTGCCCAAAAGGGAAAGGAACAGAATGGCGGACAGAAATAGAACTATTCAAAGTTGGTTGCTTCGTATGGGAGTCTGCAAGTATTATTGGGGTTTATATAGAGGGCTGCAAATCAAGATGATGGTTCAGTTTTAGTGAATCAGTGTTCATTACGTGTACTGATGTTAGTGTTGCCAAACGGGTTTAGATTATTAGATATGAATACGTGTTCCTGCCGTCTCTGCTACAATCAATAGTTCTGAGATATTTGTTCGATCAGTAGACTTTCTTTCTTTTCTGATTTCTACTACTTTTTTTTTTTTTGGGTCCATGACATTAATCAAGAGAAGATGTTCTGTCGGCAAAAGAAAAGGTGTGGTTCGATTATTGCCCACTTGTGAAGGGAAGGGAAGCCAAGTTGTCCAAAAGCTAGTTGCAGCAAAAGCACTGGAGCCCTCCTTGCTGTTTCCACTTCTGATGTGTTCTCCTTCCATCCATGAATTCTCAAGATCATTTAATTGTTTGATCCTCCCACACCAGATCTCCATATTTTATATGATCGCGATTCCCTTGACTTTTATCAGTTCAATTTTTTTGAAGTGATATTTTCCTATTCTAGTCACTTTTGTATCTTTCCTCTGATTTGGTGCTGAAGATCAACTGGTGCATTATTGCCTCCAAGAAACTCACAAAGAAAAGAACAGACCTGAAATGGACTGCCAAGTTCGTTGTGCATTTGGACGAGTTATAACTACTTGTTAATTCGGTCCAGATCGTAGTGATGACACATCAGAATTTCAAGAAGCATGCTGCCAAGAGGAAAAAGACACCATGCTTGTATCAAAGTGCCACGACTGTGACCGATGGTGACCTCTGTATGGACACCTCAGGACACCATAACCCACCTCCTTTACTAGTGCCACATTTCATACCCAAGAGAAATTTGAGAAAATATATAAAAGAGGTTTGAGCAAACACAAAGAAATTATTGAGGTTAATTGTTTTCCAACCCTGCTTGTTAACTCTGAAGAGAAAACGGTGCAGAGAAAGATCTGAAATTTTTTTTTTTTAGAATGAAGAGACGATATTCAGCAGATTCTAGTGTGTTTGAATTGCATTTTTCTAGACTTTTTGTAGAAAAATTACTGCAGCAATTTGATATATATGAGTTAAAAAGGTGATTGGAAAATGCGTTTACGGAAACGTAATAATTTTTCTTTAAAAATCTGCAATCCATACACTTGTGCTTATGTTAATTGTTGGTATAGTTTATGCATGGCAACGGGGCATTGAAATGGTCTTAGCTCTTGACTCAAAATAGGAGAGATTATAAGTAAGAGATTCTAGATTCAAAATATACCACTTATGAAAAGAAGAGAAGGCACTAAATCGACTATATTTGTATGATTTCGTTCCGTCATTATGCATATTAAAATTTTTGGTGTGCAAATACATCGTAATATTATACTAAATATGTGTCAAATATTTTAGTTCGAATATAAAGCAATGTAATTCTACATTAACTGATTGTAAAAAGTATAAGAATGGAACCGAAGTGCACCAAACTCCAAGTGCATTGACACGCTCTAGCCAATATCACGTCTTTTACGACAGGCAATGTTCAGTTCTTGGACCGGGCCATGAGGCAAATTCTCTCTCTCACTCTTTTGGGTACGAATATTCTCTTTAAGAGTCAAAATAAGGAAAGGAAAATTAGGCCGACCAAGACAAAGGCAGCATATTCAGCTAAGGTTCTGGGAATCCAATAAAGCTGGGCCTTTGTAGGGTGGATATCAGTTTTAGATACTCACATTATAATGACGTGGGATATCTACTTGAATAGTTTTGTAATATCAGCTAAAATATTTAGGGGCCGCTTGGTTTAGGAGTTTTGATACTTGGAATTACAATAATTTCAATACTGCGCGCTTGATTGATCCAGTGCAATGAAAATTGAAATATTAGAATCATGCTTTAAAATTTGACCATTCATGACTTCCGATCAAATTGGAAGGAATTGACAAAAACCCTCGTTAAATTAGTGGGTCCTCTAGAAATTATTCCATTTCACTTTCCAATTCCAAAGCAAGAATCAAGCACCCTTACTTCTTTTGTTCCCAATGGATGTATTGTTTAACTTTAGGGTAAGAATGAGCATATAAAGAAAAAGGAGACATTTGTCCAATATTTTACACTCGTTTAGTCATTTACGAGTAACTCGTAGAGGGTTTTTTTTTTTTTTCCTTCTTTCTGGCTTTTCTTTTCTTGATCAAAATTGTAATTCATTTGAAAACCATCCCTTGATTTTGATTTGTCAACAAATAAATTTCATATTACTGTACATAAAATCCAATCAATTATTTACTATTCCAACTAAAGATGAGAAAAGTCAATTGTAATTTTCCATGGAAAAGTCAAAAGGTATATTTGATCCATCTGCAAACAGCTGTAGGAGCCCGTGGGAATAAATTTGTCACTGCTGTCAAATTGTCTGTCATAAATGAATCCTTTACTTCTTTTGGACCTCAATCGGCACATTATGCAAGATATGCAGTTGCAATGTACCCAGGCAGACAAATAAATCTAAGATGCCAACCACCATTAACTGATACAAATTCAAGTAATTTATTGCTAATAACTTCTCACTTACATAAACAGATTGATTTTTAAAAAAAAAAAAAAAAACCTATGAACAACAGAACAAGAAAAAAAAATCAGTACATTAGAAGTTCAACCTTCTAATTTTATTGAAGCTCGGATGGACCTAATGCTGAAGGTCAGTGATCTATTTCTTCAAGAAATCTCCAGCCATCTTCATATAATCTCCATAGCCACCACTTCCAGAACTATGACCATGTCTACCCCCTTCCCCAGCCGAACCACCACTTCCTGAGTGATTCTTCAACATCCCCTCGGCCATTTTGATATACTCTCCATACTTGCCACCAGACTGGCCCTCATGATCACCGCCACCGCCACCGGAGGAATGCTTATTCATAAGCCCTTCAGCCATTTTGATATAATCCCCATATCCACCACCGGAATGGCCATGATGATCCTTCCCAGGCTTGGTATGGAAGGTCTCAGTAGTGGTGGTGGTGGTGGTTGAACTTGAATGAGCCTTCCCAGGCTTGGTAGTTGTGGTGGTTGTGGACTGAGAGGAGTGATATTGGTGGAGATAATTCTCAGCTTGTCCCACAATTTTCCCCATGGCACCGCCCTTTTCATCTAGCTTCCCGTAATGTGAGGCTGCGTGCAGAATGTTTTCGGCTGCGTCGGCAACCTCATTCTTGTCAAACTTGTAATTGGGGTCGTTTTGGAATTTGGCCTTGGCTGCGTTGGCTACAATTTTGGCACTTGACAATAATTCAGAGCTGGATGGGGTGGAATGATGCTGGTTATGGGATTCATGACCACGGTGATCACCACTCCTATCACTTGTGGGCTTGCTGGATTTGTGATGTTCTTCTTTATCATAAGAATACTCCATCTCGATTGATTCTTGAGTCGAGTGAATTTTTGGGACACGATTGAAAATTGGATCTGAAGTGGGGTGGAAAGAAACAGATGGAAGCTGAGGGGCGGATTAATTTGTGGGAAATGTAAAGGGCTGTGATGGATGTTGGATTTGGTGAGGGGGTTGAAGATTGAAGAATAATGAATGGAGCAACTGTGAAGGTTCGTGCTTGTTAATGAATGTCAACTGTCGCTGTCGACGCGGTGGTGGGGATTGGGGATGGGCTATAACCATAGAAAGGAAGTTTGTGGATAAGGAAGCAGCACTCGTTTAAGCGGTCATATCGCGTCCTCGTGCAGGCAAACACGTCTAAGACTTTCAGTGGTGGATTGGCTCTTCAATTCTTAGATTTTTCTTGGGAGGAGGACAACTTGTTTAGATTTTTTTTTTCTCTTAATTTAATGTCCAATTGTGATAAATTCAACTTCGAGTACATTATGAGCATAAATAATTTTTTTTTTGAAGACCATAAAAACCAGTTGGTCGTTAATTATTACTCTAATACATGTATAGTCAAGTATGATGCGGTGACTAAACGAGAATAATAAACTTAAAAGAGCAAAAATTTCGAAGAGCCCTTAAACTATCACTCTTATCCACTTTTAGTTCTTGATCTAGATTTTGTTTTTGATTGATTTTTTGAACAATTAAGGGAGCATAGTTTAAGGATTTCTAACTATTTTAGATGTAAGTCGACGCGCAATTGAAGGGCATTGTTGACCAACCATAATCAAAAAGTGTCCGGAGTCTTAGAGAATCGAAAATTTTTCAGAGATTTGTAGAGAAATCTAATAGTGTATTTGAGGAAAATGAAGGATTTTCTCTTTTTTAGACTCTGTTTGATAACTCAATTCAGCACTTAAATTTAATAGATTCAGATCTTAACATATTCATACCGTTTGATAATCATAAATTGAACATATGAATTAATTAAGTGGCACTGAATTTTCTAGACAAAACTTACTCCCAAAATTAAATAATAAGCTATTCACTTATACGCACTCAAATGTATTAGATTTAATATTTAACAATTCAATATTAATGGATTCAAATTTCAAACTTCAGTTTCAGATTTCAATTTTATCAAACAAACCGTTAGATTTCTACTCCATCTCTTAATACTTTTGATTAAGTTTCCAATACGTGGACAAAAATGCCTTTCGATTCAAGGCGGACTTATGTCTAAAATAGCCAGAAGTCCTTCAACTATGTACTTTTAATTATTTAGGGGCCAATGAAGACAAAATTTAGATTTAGGGGTTAAAAGTGTACAATGATAATAGTTTAGAGACTCCCCGTATCTTTTACTCAAACTTAATTGTTTTAAGTTTTAACCTAGGTAAGAAAGTTGAAATTATCAACTTGTATGACTATTCATGGAAACATACATTTTATTTGTTAATTCTGCTTTACTAACGTAAATGAGTATACAAGGAAACTAAGAATACCTCCAACCTTACTATAATTAATAATGGCCCTAATTAGCACTCCAAAATTTTGCCATGCTTTTAATAGATGGGTACATATATATAAATTTATCTACAGTAATCCTTTAAATATATTCCAAAGCTTTTAATATACACACTTTGGTGGCAGCGGCTAGATGCCGGCGGTGAAGAGGGAGGAAGGAAAAAAAAAAAAAAACAAATAAAAAAATAAACTTTTTCTCCAATTTCTCAAATACACAACCGTTTTTCTACAATTTTTACAGTAAATTTTATATAAACACCAAAAAAAAAAAAAAAACTCACCATTCAATTTAGTTTCCCTAAGAAGTTAAAAACAGACACTAAGTTGGATTTAGGAGACAAAAGCGTCAGAGAAATGAGCTGTAGTATATGTCGGAGCAATGACAACATCTTCATGTTAATGTCAATAAGATGACAACATCACTAAAATGAACACAGAATATAAAAGGGGAATCGAGGCATGCACTTTTCTGGAAGATTGATCCGAGCTTCCTTTCTCTCCTTCATCGTCCAAACGAAGATCCTCGCTTCTTTCTTTCTTTTGACCAACAACAACGGCATATCCCTAAAGGGATGGAACCTGAGAACACCGGTGGACATTGGGTGCTGCAGGTTGATTACAGATTCCATGCAAGCATCAAATATGCTGCACTTGTGTTCTCAGGTCACCCCTTTGGGGCAACCCCGTTTTGCTACTGTGAAATGCATCTGTACGTAGCAGTGATCAAATTCAGCGCTATTTCCCCTTTTTATATTTCATTCATTCTTTCGTTTTTATTTATTTATTTATTTATTTTTTACAATTTTCTTGTTTAATTACATGGCAACAATTCAACCTGCAGATGATGACTTTCTAAGTCTCAGTTTAATTTCATCCCAACTTTGAAGATTTGTTCGCAAAATGATTTCTCCTCATGACTAGTTTTGGATCTATTGTTTGTATTTATTCTCGTAAAAAGTGTTGAGAATTGTACGCACATTCTTCATCCTTGGTTTGGTCAAGTGAGTCTCACAAGATGACTCTTTGATGTGATAATTAAAAACAAAGGTGTGAAAGAACTTGTTTATGACGCAATAATGACAATCACACTACCATATTATTTACTATTATTATGGACGACCCCCCCCAAAAAAAAAACACACACACACACACACAGAGACGGACTGCCATATGATCTGTAATTGCCAAAGTACTCTTCTACCCTTTCTTCTTTGGCAGACTACCAATATGCCCTTTCTTCCTTGAACGGATTCCGGCCTTTAGGACTGACCGACTGCAAAAACCCTACGTTTACTACCGGACCGGACTGAGATTCGGAACTCGAATAGTATAGCAAAATAGCACTGGGCATATGGAGATGGAAATCGACAATCCAAAGCCCAATTGCAAAGCTAACAACACCCAAATCAAAGACGAAGACCTCTTCAAAGCCGCTGAGAACGGCGACGTTTCGGTCTTCGAATCCCTCTCCGACGGACAGCTCCTCAAAGCCCTCTCTCTCCGCAACGAAGATGGCCGTTCTCTCCTTCACGTTGCCGTCTCCTTTGCCCAAACCCAGGTGCACACTGATGTTTCGTCCTTCTAATGTTACCTTTTCACCTCGTTCTTTCATTGTTCATCTTTTTTTTTTTTGAATTTCTGTAGTTTTTAATATTTATTTATGATGATTCTACGCATTAGTTCATTAGTTCCATTTGAATAAGCTTAATGCGTTTAATAGCTATTGAAAGTGTAGAGTTTGTTTTGTTTTTGTCATACAAATTTATGTAAATCAACTGCCGACTTGAGCTTGGCTAGATAAAAGCTCAGTTTGCTCACAGGCCGAGCACATTTTTGGTTCAAGCTCATAAAAATGGTGAAACCAACTAGATTCTCAGCGCCATTTTTATGAGTTCCTCGACTGGGTTCCAGCTTTGTTAATCGTGTCCGCATTACCCCCTCTTTTTTTTTTTTGGTGGCCGGAGTTGGGGGGAGGTTAAATTTGCAAGTTGTAGGAGTGGACTATTTGTTTTGATCTTAAAGCTAAGTATGTGTTGGTGAATGGTTCAGGTGGTGAAGATTCTATCAGCAGCAGAACCGTCTGTAAGTGGTGTAAATAGTACCGATGAGGAAGGCTGGGCTCCTCTCCATTCTGCAGCAAGCAGCGGGAGTGTCGAGATTGTGGAGATTTTGCTGAGCAGAGGTGATGATCGAGCTTCTCTCACGCTTTATCCTTGCATTAAATCATTAATGCAAGGTTGTGGTGTTCTATTCTGCTTAGTTAGTTATCGAAAGTGATTTCATGCCTAATGTTTTTATTGCAAGAGAATGTACTCTGGTTTGAGCTAGAATGCTGAAGGAAATTTCAAGGCAACAAGGGATAATATCTATTTGTGAATAGGGCTTTTGTATTGATTAAATATTGGAATAAATTAACGGGCATACCATGAAATGGTTGGTTTTTAGTTTTAAGTTTGATGGGATTAGCTACTGTATGTCATGGAGATTTACAGATTTACAGGCTAACGGAGGATTCACAGTAGTTGATTGATGTGAGGTCTAGATGGTTATTGATTTTTTTAGGGGGGGAATGGCATTTTACTTTTTGGGGGCAAAATGCAGATCTGATAGGATGCTGAATATTATTATATGTCATGTCTCTTCATCAGTAAATTTCTTCCTTTAAAAGAAAATTAAGCAACAGTTAGAAATGTTGTGTGCTTCTAAAATTGCTTGCCCTGAATGTTTTCAGTTCTTGTCAGCAGGAGCTGATGTTAATCAGAAGAATGATGGTGGTCGCACAGCTCTCCACTATGCTGCTAGCAAGGGTCGGTTTAAAATAGCTGAACTTTTACTCTCTCATGGTGCAAAGCTCAACGCGAAGGACAAGGCTTGTGCTTACACCTTAACCTTTTTATCCCTTATTCAAAGATCTTGTTGCACCATGTTATGCAATATGTGGACATAGCTCTTGAATGATTGCATCAGCACTCAGCATATTTTCAGAACATGCAAATTCTTTTTCTGATGATCTTTTATCATTATCATTCAGGTTGGTTGTACCCCATTACATCGTGCAGCCAGCACAGGGTACTCAGAAGTATCTGAACTCTTAATTGAGGAAGGAGCTGAGGTCGATGATGTTGATAAGGCGGGTCAAACTCCTCTTATGAATGCAGTGATATGCGGCAACAGAGAAGTAAAGTTTCTACAACGTCCTTTGTGTGCTCCAACCATTTCACTGTAGATGTACCTAATTACTCACGCACATGCCATGTATATGTATCTTTTTAGCTGTTATTTATTTTCATAGCTTCAGAAAATAAGTATTTATATAACAAATTTATTCACTTGTGATTGGAAGTGTGACAGAAATTTCCAGTGACGGGAATTCTGATTAGATGTGCTTACAAAGTATCAAGTATCCTGGTTTTTCAGATTTTTTTCTCTTGCAATTCATCTGCCTAGTATATTTTGCGGAAATAAATGAAAAAATATGTATGTTTGAAGTTTATGATAACCATGCAAGGGAATAAGAGAATTCTCTTATACTCTGTCTGATCCTGTTAATTGGGGAATGTTTTTGCCAATCCATAGGTAATCTCATTCCGATCTAAATATTTTGTTGACAGGCTGCTCTCCTACTAATAAGACACGGAGCAAATGTAGATGTTGAGGACAATGAAGGATACACTGTACTCGGTCGAGCTTCTGATGATCTTCGACCAGCACTAGTTGATGCGGCTAAGGCCATGCTGGAAGAATAGATAGATTATACAGAGGAAACGAAATTTCTTTAAATGGCTGGGGCTAATTTGATGCATTTGGGGTAACACACTAGGATCTATGCCAGTGAAAGTTTAAGGGGTAGAACGGCACTACTCTAGCTATGTTTTGTTTTTCTTTTCGGGTTCATCTGTTGGATCATCAAGTCAACTGGAAGGCCCAGAATTTTGATCAGTTTCATTTAAATTGCATATTTTTCTCAGTTTGTTTGATTCCTGGATTTGGGATTGTAACGCTTGAGCATTTTGCCCCTCCCAACTTTTTGCATTAGCAGATGGGGATAAGATGTTGGAGGACTCGATCGCCTTACGGTCTTAGTGCAGTGTTTTAAAGTCCTTAACTGTGATAGGATCTCTCTTAGATGGAAAGAATTCGATGGCATATGAGAATTTATTTATTCGGGCCCCAATTGTCTTCCAACATTTATTAGTTTGTTTTTGTAAGTGGTGAAAACAGATGACTTTTAACTTTGGAGATTGAGATCGGGTGCCTCATTGATCTCGCTGTCAATCGAGAGCCCTAGAACGGGGTTGTCGTGGCAATACAGATTAAATTGAAATTAAACTAATCTCCCAACCGCATCCGCTCTAGCTCGAGACTGTCCTTACTCCTTACAAAGAAAGCGCCTGTTGGGAAAAAAAATATGTTCATAAATGAGAGGAATTGAGAAAGGGGAGAAAAAAAAGAGAGAGAGAACATAGGGATTGGATTTTCTAGGCATGAGTAACATAATAAAACCTAGACATAAGTGCGATCATATCAATACTAATGCATCGGATCATATCAGAACTTTGAACCTAATAACTAGTTCCTATCAAAACTCAGAAACTAATAGCTAGTTTGGGAGATAAGATTTGAGCAGAAAAGAAAAAAAGGGAAGAGAAAGATAGATGTTTCCAATGTTTGAGAGATTTAGTGAAATAGAAAAGAAAAGAAAGCAACTAATTTGAAAGAAAACACAGCAACTACCGTTAAAAAAATTTTCCATCCCAAATTGGGCAGAAAGCAAAGGAAAGTTGAGGAGAGTCTACAAAAAATTTTAAAATTATCCATTCTATCTTATCCTTAAAAAGTTATTGAATAAGATTTTTATTAACCAATATATCCAAAATAATTTCTTTTCTTTCATGAACTTCTAAACAACATTTAAAATCTCCTCTTTTCTTTTCTTATCATTTCTTTTCTCTCGTAACTTAACTTCTCTTTTTTTCTTTTCTATCCTCAACTCCCAAACTAGCTATGAGTGTGCTTGTGCTTGGACGTGTGAAACTAAAAATTGGTTCTCATTTGTCTTTCATCTATTACGGGCTTCCTAATCTTCTTCCCTTTCAAGAGAGAGAAAAAAAAATGTGAAAATACATGTTTGTCTTCTGCAAGATAACGGAAATCAATAATCAATGGAGCTGAAGGATTAACAATTTGCCGAAAAAAATTGATGTTTAATTATTAACCATAGGACCCTGAAATCCGAGTACTTGTCTACCTGATTGCCACGACACACTGAAGTCGCAAAACACTGCGGAGGCAGGACTGAGGAGAGGATGGGGGTTTCCTTGGTGGAAATAAATAACAACCGTTAATTCTTGTAACTGGCGACTGCCTGGTTCCTAGGATCCCATCATCGTCTACCTTTACACATGCTGCAAGGGCAAGTCTTGTTCTAGTTCTGGTTGAGCTTGGCAGAAAGATAGAGGGGAAGTACGAGATAGAAACATAACCAATCATCATGGCCTCATCTTTAATCTGGGCTTCACTGGACCCATCTGTCAGCAAGCCAAGATCATTTTTTCCTTCTAAAGTTCCATCTCTACCTTCCAAACAGTTTCAGCAATCAGAAGCAGTAGTTGGTTTTAGGAATAATAGAGTAAAAGAAGCTGCTGCGGCTTCCATCAGAAAAGTTCAACTAGTTTCTTTCGCTGCCTCTGCTGCCCTCTTGCTATGCTCCAGTCCCGGTAATTGACTAAGCACCTTATCATCTCAGTGTATTTTGGTGGTTGCTTCTGAAATGTTTTTATTTTCTGAATTCTTGCAGTAATTACTAGTGCTAATCAGTAATGAAATACGCATTTACAGATTTGATACGAGGTGTTATTTTTTGGGTAAAATATCTGAATCCCTTTTTCTTTTTTTTTTTCCTTTGGGGTAGCTAATGCTGGATTTTTCTCGGGCTTCTCTGGGATAGAGTCAGTTCCTGGTCCTGAGTTACCTCAGATTGACTTTCTGTCACGCTGGAATGGTATGTTAGCAACTGAATTTTATAATTCTGCTGATCTCTCCTTAAAATTTGTTAACTCAGAAATGATACATGCTGGAATTTCCAGAAGAAAACCAGAAGAAGTATGCTGAAGCTGATGCAAAATTCAAAGAGTCCCCCCTGCTCAAAAAGTTGCTTGAGCAAACTAGGTTAAACAAAGAGAAGTACGTTTTTCCTTCTCTAACTATTCATAGTCTTGTAGGAAGAGTTGCCATTAAACGCCCTGGGCGTCAGAAATGTGAATTGAGCTTTTTATGACTTTCCTTGCTATATATCTATCAAAGTGGAGTCAAATTGATCATCTTGATCAGATTTGGAGGCTTTGGATAAACCATTTGTTCTTAAAATGTCTTGATAACCTGCTTATTTAACAGGGAAAAAAAAATGAAAGATGAGAAGTAATTAGAATTTGGGCTTACCAGGGACCAGACATGCATCAAGATGCAGTGACATTTTATTTGTGACTTTGCCTGCCTTTCTTTACTTGTTCCAAGTAATTGACTGTTAGTTCGTACGTCTATTACTGTGGAGGCTGTGTTGTAAAAAATATGAGCTCCAGAACAAAATATGACAACTACTTTCCCCAAGACAAACAACTTGCCACCGCTTACGGTATATTCATTCATGTGCACCTTCAGAAATCGACAAGCTACTTTAGACAAGTATTGCATCCGAGGAGCTGAATGGGGTGTAGGAGATTGTTCAGCAGACGGAATGTCACCTCAAGACAGGGATAACTTCATCTCCATGCTGAAGAAAAAGGCTGGGATAGAAGAATGAAGAAAGGAGCCAGAGAGACCTTCTGGTTCGATCAAGTCTGTAAGGAGATTTATAATCAGGTACGTACGTTAACCTTCCTGGGACGGTACCTTTTTCTTGGATCAGATGTGGTCCTGATGGCAAAAAAACATTATCTTGATTCCTAGTAGTAACAATTGCTTTGCATGTTTTGGCACATTTGATATCTCCTTTGCTCTTTACTGAAGGTAAACAATGATGTTAGGATCGAAAGCGGGGTGGTAAGTTCAATATTTGAGCAACATGAAGATCCACTTGGTTAGAGACTCAGAGCAAGAGGAGAGCAATAAATAGAGAAGCCCATGAGCTCCTCCTATCTTAAAATGGAGATTAGATTCTGGAACCTGAAAAATGCTGATAAAGCAACCTTTAGGCAGATAGATGGTGGTTGCAGAGTCATTAGTGGTGTTGAATTGGCTCTACTTTCTAATCCTTAATTAGTGCATCAACTAGATTTCTTCCTTTGATTCAGGTGCTTGTGCTTGCAGCACGTTATGCTTCTGGAGCCAGGTTGTTGTCGTAAGAGATCCTTCATACTTCATTTTTCAAAGCCCAATGCACATGACAGTAAGAATGAGATTTTTGTTTGTCCTAATTAATATGATATTTGGCTTTTTATTTTTATTTTTTTTTATAAAAAAAAAAAAACAGATTTTAGAAAAGGTATTGGATCTGGAGACTGGAACGCAAGGGCTCAGATTGTATACGTCTTCATGACGAAGTTTAATAATGCTTCAAGAAACTTCCTTATTAGTCGTAAAATGTATTATCTGCGAGTAGTTTCTCTCGAAACTAGTAAGCAAAAAATGCTCACCTGTGGTCATGGATCAAGCTGCTGCATTCTCCCTGAATGCAGCAGTTTCTTTACCTTTTCTCAGAACATGATACAAACAGACGTTGCTAAATGCTAATGCACATTTAGCAAATCACGCATTCATCATCATTGGCTTCACTACTAAAATATATATCCTTTTTATAATAGTAGTTGATTGCCACATGCATGGAAATTAATTATAAAACGAATAGTATTAGACTGTCTATCATTTTTCTTTTTCTTTTTTTGGCTAGTTTAGATAGGCAATAATATATTTCGAGCTAGAAGATGAATCAAAGTACTTGATACTCGAATCGATAAGAACTCCTTCAACCTTGGTGGTTTGCCAACTAGTTGAATCAAATTTGAACAGTATTTTATATTCAATAACATTCAAATTCGATAAAAAAAAAAAAAAAAACTCGTTCAACCTTAATTCGACAGATAAATAAATCAAGTTTGAACAAAATTTTAAATTAATTAAAATAATCAAACAAATTTGAATGAACAAGTTAAGTTTGAACAAAATTTCAAATTAGTTAAAATAATCAAACAAATTTGAACATTAAGGCGTTCGACTTGATTATATTCGTTTATCCTAACTTGTTTGGAATGTGATTTTCCATGGAAAATTTTCCGTAAATACATTTTTCAATCATTTTTTTATCTCGTCAAATGGCCACAATTTTTTTTTTTTTTTTTTTTTTACAAAAAAACTCTTAAAATTAACAATCCAAACAACAAGCAGAATTATTGGTTGAAAGAATCCGTGGTGGTTCAACGGGATCTTTTGCTGTATAAGGACGGCACCAAACAATATATTGAATTTGCAAAGTGCAAAATCGTTGTCTAAAGCCAAAAAATTGTCAGATAGTACTCAGAATTTTGCCCGCACCGTCTATGACTCAAGGAAGGAGGATGGGACGAGAAATCTGTTCTTCTGTGTCCCTAAAGGCGTGAATGTGTCAACGAGTCTTCAACTCTTCCTAAACCACAGAAAAAAATTACAAAATCCAACCGTAATCATTTAACCCCAAAAGCAGGAAGAAAAAATGGGAAAAGAAAAGAAAATTTCCGTAAGATCCCGCAGGCGCAGCAGCCAAAACAACAGATAACGGTACTGCCAGCCTCCCTCAACCTTCTCAACGTCTTCAGCTTGTCCAACTGAGCTCCGTTTCGTCACCCGACCCGCCCCGACCTCATCAGGTAAACTTTTAAAAGATTTCCGAAATATTTAATTATATTATTATTGTTTTCTGCTATTTCTCTCAATCATGCAAGTCAATTGCCTCGCTTCCCAAATCTGAAATCCATATTATTCAGGTACATAAGCAAATCATTGTTATTAACATGCTTCCCTGTCATATGTTTGACAATTTTACGGAGAACAAGGTAAATTTCTTGTTCGCAGAAACCTTAAATTTGATTTCATTCATATAAAGTCTCCAATAGACGTTTACACGCATGAAATTACTAGTCGATGCCTGCATTATTTTGTTCAATCCTAATTAAGCTAAGGATTTTTTTTAATATTCTTTTGCGTTTTTCAGGCCAGTGATTAATCAGTTACTTTAAGATTTTTTTTTTTTTTTGCATGAAAGTTTCAATCTTTATGTTGATGTTGTTGTTGGTATACCTATATGTATGAGGTCAAGTACGTCTATTAGATGGTAAAAGATTAGTTTAATTTTGATGTATAGCTTCTCTTATTCCCTGGTTTTTGCAGGAGGATCTTTTTTCTCCTGGTGAAAATTCATGTGGGAATTTTGAAGCTTCCTTATGTGTTTTGTGTGTTGGTGAGAATTTAGGTGTAACTTGTGGGATACAAAAGGAAGAAGTTTGTTGGGGAGCTGTAAAGTATGTATAGGCCTGGGGCTGCAACCCCAAATCGAGGTGGACTGCCTATGGATAGTGGAGATTCTGTGGTGACATTGGATCAAGTTCCCCGTTGGAGTGATGTGGAGTATAGATATGCATATGAGAATGAAGATGGGCCTTTTCCAAATTCTTATTTTGCTGACCCTTTGACATCTGCATCTGAGGCTGGGAGTAGTGGAAATGGAATGGTTTCTAGGTTTCCTGTCGATCATGAAATTAACTCAAAGATATATTTGTGGAGAGGGAATCCTTGGAATCTTGAGGTGGATGCAGTTGTAAACTCGACTAACGAGGTAAACTTTGATTACTTGCCCAGGTACTTTTCTGTGGCACGATGAATGATTCCTATCATTGTGTTATGATAAAAGATTTTTGGTGCATATTGCTTTGTATGATCTATCAATTTAGGATGGAAAAAACACTGTTCATTCTCATCATATAGGGACCAGGAAATTATCAATCCAATTTTTAGGTTTGAGTCCTGGCTTTTTTTTGTACCTAAAGCATATTGTGAATGTCTCCTTCATTTTCCAGCTTTATTAATCCTTTATCTGATCGAAAATGTTGCACGCGCTTGTTTCTGTTTTTGTTGCTGAAGTTTGAATTGGGTTTTGGAAATTTAATTTTATCACATAAATAAATTTTGGAAATTTGCTGTCTCTTACTATTAGCTTGTGTATAAATTTTGCTGGTTTCTTTTTACTAGATGTTGCAAGAATGGATATTCTTCTGGGTCCTATTGCCATGGCTTTTGCATTGTTGTTGGAGTTTCTGTTAACGAGACCTATGACCCCACACATGCTGTTGAATTCATACCTGCCAAAACTCATAACACGTATATTAATTTACAAAGTAATGATTCAAGACTCATCTTGGACGCATGTATCCATCATTCCAGTAAAACCTTGGGCAATGTGATTTTGTTTCCTCTGGAATGGATACCCAAGGCTATTCTGCTGCTGTGACCTGGGGAGTGCCAATCCATTATTGCTCTTGTCATGTTATATTGCATCAAAGAAGATGTGAAAATTATTCATTGCAACATTTGAGACTAACTACTTAAGCACATTACTATGGTTATGTTGCATCTGACATCATGTGCTCACATGTGGTTGGCAGAACTTGGATGAAGCACATAGCAGCCCAGGGTTGCATGCTGCAGCTGGACCTGGTCTTGCAGAAGAATGTGCAACTTTGGTGAGTTTTACTTGTATACATGTCTGTGTGTGCATTATTTTTTTGTGCTGCATAAGCATGTTATTGGTTCTTTTTGATGGTCTATTATGCAGATCTTTTAGTACAAATTTTTTTTCATTTTTTGTAAATAAATTTATCTGCCTCATTCTAGGGTGGCTGTCGAACAGGAATGGCAAAAGTTACCAATGCATACGATCTTCCTGCAAGGTGGGGTTATCAGTTGTTTCACTAGAACAAATCAATGTACTTCTGTATAGCTGCAAAGAGGAAAGCCTTGTGACACTAATGCTTCAGTCGCTAATTGTTTTTATTGTGACACTTCACAGGAGGATTATACATACTGTTGGTCCCAAGTATGCAGTAAAGTATCACACTGCCGCAGAGAATGCGCTGAGTCACTGCTACAGGTCTTGTCTTGAACTTCTCATTGAAAATGGACTGCAAAGGTTGGTAGCATAGTTATTTTCACTTTCTTTTCTAGCTTATCTATTGGGTGTTATTCATTTATGTGGAACTTATCTATCTGCATTAAAATGTGAGTGCAGTGTTGCTGTGGGCTGTATATATACAGAAGCCAAAAATTATCCACGAGAACCAGCTGCACATGTTGCAATAAGTAAGATACTTTTTACACCATTCAGATTTCATTATTCAGGCATTTTAATACCTTAAGTGCAGAGATTTTCTTGGAGTGGCATTTGAATCACATGCGTGGAATACCCAATGTTTTAAGAGTTCTATCCTCATTCCTCAGCAGCTGGAAAACAAATGAAATTAATAAATTTGTTTACGGATCGTATTACTGAATTTACTTGACATCAGGGTGATTGGGATGAACTTATTACTGTTCCTTCAATTTTTTGTTTGCTTTTTTCATTAGGGACTGTGAGACGGTTTCTTGAGAAGCAGAAAGATAAAATCAACGCCGTTGTATTCTGTACAGCTACATCAACTGATACTGAGATATATAAAAGGTATTCTTAGTGACCTGTCTTTAGATAGTGTTGTTACTAACTTTGTTCACATTGTGTAATGCAGTGTACTGGCAATGCTTGCTGTGGTCAATTGGCATGTCCTATTCATGTTCCGAATATTGGGAATTTTAAACCCTTCTACCATTTGCACGCAGATTGCTTCCACTTTATTTTCCACGTGACAAACAGGAAGAGGAGATAGCTATTTCAAAACTACCTGCAGATGTTGGCGATGAAAATGGTGAGACAGTTATAGATGAGCGAAAAATCAGAATAAAGTCTCTGCCCAATGTGAAGAAGAGTATTCCAAAACCTCCACAACCTTCCAATGATCTCCCTGTCAGTGATCTTGGGTTGACAAGGAGGTTGGCTTACTATGTCGTTCTTCTTCTTCTCCTTGCTCTTCTTTTTCTTTACTTTTTCCCCCCATGTTAGTCTCTAAGCTAAGATGAGCTCAATGAACATCTTGCACTGGCAGGATAATACTGTATTTGCATTTTGAATTTTCTCACTCCTGGTACCTTGGTGTGGATGCTGCATTTATCTGTCTTATCTAATACTCCTTTTTGCTGTTCCTTCAATAGGAATTCTTCATATTTGGATTCATACTTGGATCCTGCCTTTATGTCGTTGATAAAGGACCCAGACCAGCGACGTAAAGAACAGTGGGAAAAAACTGCTCAAGCTCAGAGTGGTTGGAACTGTTTTAAAATGCTTGGATATGGTGACCTCGGGGGACCTCCTTTATCTGCTGCAGAAGAATATTCTCTCCATTCTCGATACCTTGCAAAAGCAAATTCTCTCAATCTTTCTGAAATTGCAGAAATGAAAATTGTGTAAGCAATTATTGGCTTTTTATCGGGGGTGTTAACAGTCCATTCACTTTTTCCATCACTTTCGTATTGTCATTATTGCATTCAGTTCATTTTTGTGTAGTCTTCTAGAGTGCCTCATGTTCCACAAAGTCCCATTCATACTGGTAATGGATCCTAATGCCTTTGGTACATACCAAGATTTGCTGTTGAAGTTTGTTTCATTTAAAGTAATGGAGGCATTTGACTACAAACTACATGATATTTCTTCTTTTTACCCCTTTTGGTTGGTACCATTTACCAAGTCTCACAATGCTCGTCTAGCTGTAGTCTTTTGTGAAGCTGTTTCTTTTTTATTTTTAGTGTTTTGCTTTCTTCCTTTTCTCCCATTTCGCATTTCATACTTTCTAATATACAGATTGAAAGTGTCATTTCATACTTTCATATGTTAGTGACTCTGTCTCAGCATTGGTTTTGTGTGTGTGTGTGTGTGTGAGAGAGAGAGAGAGAGAGAGAGATAAACCACTGTTGTGCTTGCCACTATTGATCAACTTTATGTGAAAATGGACTTGAGTTCTGCTATTGGAGTGGGTTATTGTGATAATTGCAAACTGACATCTGATTTATTGCTTATATTTCAGCTATCGAGGTGGGGTTGATAGTGAGGGTAGACCAGTTATGGTCATTGTGGGTGCACATTTCCTTTTACGCTGTCTTGATCTAGAGCGTTTTATACTTTATGTGGTTAAGGTAAATAATTATTGCTTGCTTTCTTCATTATATTTTCCTCAGGTATATGATAAATTAACTCCTGCATCATGTTTGCAATATGACTCACTGTTCCTGGGTATTTGATCCTTCTGGACTTTTCAAATGTAATATTTCCAAATTTCTAGTAATAACTTGACTGTAAGAGAATTTATATGCATTTCAGGAGTTTGAGCCCTTGATACAGAAGCCTTACTCCATTGTTTACTTCCATTCTGCTGCATCTTTACAAGCGTGAGTATTCCTTTATCAACCTGTCATCAACTTAGTTGATCTTCTTTCTGTTGACTTGTGCAAGTGGGTAAAATGTCTTTAAGAAAATAAAAAGAACGTGTTTATGAGTCCTTATTGTACTTTAGCAGTGTGTACTTTGCATCAAGGCACTAGTACACCTTAGAGAAAGATGCAAAAGTCTGTTTTCAAGGGGCCTAGCTTGTTGCTGAATTTGGCCCATTTCAATGTTGTCCAGTTAGAGGTACAACGTATCCTCGAATTTTATTTTATTTTATTTATTAAAGCTTAGATACCCAACTGGAAACGAGTAATACAGTGTCAAAACAAAAGGTTGGAAGTTTTATGATGGTTGAGTTAGTAGGTTTTACATGAAATGCACCCGCTCAAACTGGCTTGTGGTTTCTCACATGTGGAACTGTATTATTGTACAAATAGGCAACCAGACCTGGGATGGATGAGAAGACTACAGCAAATACTTGGTCGAAAACACCAGCGTAATCTTCATGTATGTGTTGTTCCCCTCTTGGCATTTTCGTTTGAGCAGCCACCATAGGTGATATTTACTGTTCTCTTATCCATGAGAAGACATTTGGTTTGAAATCTTCATTTTGCAGGCTATATATGTCCTACACCCCACCTTTGGCTTGAAAGCAGCTATTTTCGCAATGCAATTATTTGTTGATAATGTGGTATGTATTACTAAGAACTGATGCTCTTTATACCCCATCCCACTAGCCCAGGAACAAGGACTAATCAATCTGGTATCTACTCTATTATTCTTTCTTCAATAATTGGTTATTTTTATTCCGCTTGCTTGCTCAGTTTCTTTAAGGATGTATGCTCCATGATGGCCCTAGTTAGCTATTATAACGAAGTGGGTCTTTCAAGGTTGAGTGTGAAAGCTTTTTCCTTGTAGTTATTGAGGAAATATGTCATCAAAAGGAGCTAAACCCTCAGCTCCTCGATCTTGTTTTGTAACATTAGAGAGCTGATTACTCTGCGGAAATCATCTCAGGTGTGGAAAAAGGTGGTATATGTAGATCGGCTTCTTCAGCTATTTAGATATGTCCCCCGAGAGCAGCTTACAATTCCGGATTTTGTGTTCCAGTTGAGTTTTGATACCCTTTTGATATCTTGTTCATTGTTTTCATGAAGTTGGAATCGGTGCTAGAGAAGCAAGTGATTTTTATGACGGAGGCATTCCATTAGTCATTTCCCCTCTTTTAGTGGCCATGCTTTATAGTTTTATCAGAGGCAAAAATTTTCAGCCTTTCTTTTAACTTTTCAATCACTTTGCTGATGCAGGCACGATCTAGAAGTGAATGGTGGGAAGGGCGTCATTGTCGATCCACGCACCAAATATGTATATCAGCGTCCATGAGCGTTGTACTTGCACACTTCCGTCATATACAGTTTTTGATCAAGTGTCCAGAAAGTCTGTGAATCTGTATTCTTTTTCATTTTTTCAGATTTTGAGTGTACCTTCTTCTTTTTTTTTTTTTCAAATTTCTTCTTCAAATTCACTTCTTATCCCATATCTATGTATTTATCCTTTTTGAGGAAATTGAGAGTTCTTTGTGTATGCAAACACTGACAATTTTTCTTGTCGTGTTGTAATTTGATATTCTGTGGATACCACATTTGTAAAAACGCTCAATTTGTCCTCTTGGAAGTTTGCCTTTCATCCTGCCTGGTTCTGGGCCACTTGTGCTGCTACTACTCAGAAGAGTTTTTCTGCTTGTATGTTTGTAGCGAGTTCTTCTGATGGCAGAATAAAACATCCAATTCCAATTCCAAATCCATCGTACCATTGAATATGCAGACTCGGAAAAATCTAAAATGGGGTCAAAGTAGACTTAAATCGCTCGTGAATTCACACCGTCCAATAATCAACCCACGCTAGAAGCACTTGGCCAGAAATTTATACCTGCCTAACTGCCTTTTGTTATTGAGAAGATGACCAAGGAAGGCTTTAGTTGGTTACTTGCAAAAATTTATCTGCCCGTGTCGTTAATATATTTTTCAATCATCATTTGATTGCTATCGAAACGTGCCTATAATTTCTTAAAATACGCTCATCTCTATCCATTTTGCATGCACAGCCAATCTTATCCAGTGAAACGCTTTTGCTTGAATTTGAACTTGTATTCTAGAATTGTAAAAGTTTATTTTGAAAAGGGTGAATATTATTATTGATACTTTTATTGTCATTCTTCCTATTCTTGCTAACAGAAATGGTCATACATATATAAGGGAAAGTGGCAAAAAACGATCGTAAGTGTAAAAATAATTTTGTTTATGTGTGTGGTATAACAACACTTGAACAAGTTGTAATTCACTGTTGTACAAGTAGTTAACAATAAATTATAATTTATTAACAATATGGTAACACCGTTTGTTACAGTAACAATAATCTTTTACCTTTTGCCCATCTTTGCAGTGTACGGGGTGTCTAAATAATGGGCAAGGGGTATCTTTTAGCCTGTTAGCCTTTTAGGGTGAATTAATTAACTAAACAATAATTGGAGTGTCAATAACAAATTTTACAACTGCCAATAGCCATTTCCTCCACAATTTCACTTTGCACTTTGCCAATAGTCATTCTCACTTCGCACCTCTTGTAGGCACAATTGTTTTGAATCTTTAACACTAGAGTTTTCAAATATCCTAAATCACCCCTGTTCTACTATCACTAATTCACTATCAAATGTATTAATCTACTGGAGGGTAAAAAGAAAAAAAAATCATTTTTTTCTGGGACTCTGATAACTGAAGTGTATTTGTTCATGACTTTTTAAATCCAATATGTTTCGAGTATCGAAGAAAGTCCCAGAAAGAGAAATATCAAAGAGAACTTGAAAAGGGCTGCATTCATTTACGACTTTGCTCAATTATCAATTAAGGTCAGGCCCAACACGGAAGCTATATTTTGTTTCTTTCTTGTCTCGTGTTTTTGCTGAATCAGCTGTGAATTTTTGTGTTTTTGGTTTGGTGAATTTCTGCTTCATTTTACTTCGGGGGTTCTCTTGGGCCAGATTACTGATAATGATTTCAGCAAGTGTTCAATATAGTTGTAGAAAATTATGGTGGAAAGATGAATTAAATGAAATGCGTACAAATTACCCCAAAAAAAACATGATTTTTAAGTGCTTTTTTTTTTTGGCGATATCTTTCATGTAATATTTATGGAGGGAAGACTAACGAAAGGGCCGTATTTGTGTAGCTGCTGTGTGTTTGCTTTTTCAAGCAATGGTGCAAAGTATGCCGGCAAGCACCTTGGCTATCTCCAGATATGGTGGTTGTTTTGGTTCCTTCCCTGTTTGGAGGAAACCTTTTGGGCTAATGAAAGAATCCCAGATGAGTTTTGGTGTTGGAAAACAGAATCTTTGGCATCATTTCAGCCAAAGCTTACTGTTTATTGGTCAGTCAGACTTAGGAGGGTGCCGAAATGTGAGGGTTAATGTTGGGTGGCCGTTTAAAGGAAATAATCAGGGGCTGAATGCAGCTTCTGAGCGTAGTGATAGCGCCAATGAGGATATATTGATGTTCTTTTTCCAACTGGACTTGGCAACTCGAGTACAGGTTTTTAACGCCTCTTTTCTCCAGCTGATATTTATAGTTCATTTATTGTACTCCCATCTGACTAAGAAAAATTGCACAAATGAATTTCTTGTTGTATGTATCTGCAGTATGCTTTGAACTTGGAGCAGTATGACATTGCGAAACAATTGAGAGACAAGCTTAATGAGGTAAATTTTACATCTCTGCTGTTGCCTTCTTCTTGGATTGCAAACAAGGACGTCACAACTTTGCAACACCTAATTATGGAATTTAATACTGTGAAAGCAAGTTCTCTTGCCAGTGTACCTGATTCCTGCAGGCTGCAACCATTACAACAGTGAAAGGGAAAAAAAGAAAATCTTTAGTGCAAGCATTTCTTTTGACCATGTATGAATTTGAAAATTGGTGTGGTAACTGAAACCTCTGCATCTCCATCTGATTTTCTGAAGGTTGAAGAAGAGGTCATCAGACAGCAAGAAACAAGAAAGGGTACAACCTCAAAAAGTGAAGTTCAAGACATGGCTATAAGCATCTTACGCCTAAAGTGCGTCTCTTATACTGTTTCCCTGTTATAGGCTTATGCTTTTCATAACTGCGCCTTCAAGTCCAGTTATGAATCTTGTGCTTTGCCTTCCTAATTTGCCAATTTCTAATATTCTTTATTTCATCTGTCAATCTGTCTCTCCTGTTCCTCCAGAGCAGATCTGCAGAATGCAATTGAAAGTGAAAACTACAGTTTGGCAGCTGAATTAAGAGATGAAATTTCAAAAATTGAGTCAGAGTCCTTAGCTGCATCGGTGAAAGCGCAAGTATATCAGAATGCTCAGTATGCATTTCATTTGGGGCAGAAAGTCAGGCATAAGACATTTGGTAAAATTGTGACCTGGCTTTTTTATTCATTTCATTCTTTCTTCCTTAGATATTTGACAATCTCAAGAAATCAATATCACTCTCTTCATCTTATCAGCAACTTCAACAAAATGCTGGGTTTTGATGACACAACACATTCCAAAAAGCAGACGGTTTAGTTCAGGAGCAACTATCATAGGTTATCCACCAGAGAGATGGCTTTACAAAATATCAGGATGTAGAGACAAATTTATCTAATTTCTCTACTTGATATAGCTAAAAAATTATTATAATGATATGTATTCATGTCAGCCTAATACAGTATCTTGTAGCATAATTTGTCCAAAAACTTTTGTCAACTAAAGCAGGGAGCTAGGCTGGACTATTGATAAGTGTGGAGAAAACATGTTGACATGGTAAACAAGATGATAGGGTGATGCATTTGGTGGGGGAGTGTGTAGTAATTGTCTTTTATGCTAGTTGTAAGCTATATCGAACTGGGAATTAAACTTTCTGTTTGGCATGAAGGAAAAAATGCACGTGTTTAGCTTCTAAGGAATCTGTGGTTCATTTGGTTTTAGATGGGAAATTGATCTTTTCTGTTTTGAACCTGCTTTACAAATTACAGAATATCGAGCAGTAATCTGTGGTATGGATCCAGTCTGCTGTGAAACAAAATCATGGATGGAGACTGCAAATGTTTATAAGTTGACTCGTGGTCCAGATCAACCATTTTACCAGGTTTTACAATTGATTGGACTTTTAGCTGTATAGCATGCTGTGGGAAATTTCTACAGAATACTTTCTTCTTCCACCGGAGGTTGCCATATCTTTTTTCTCACATCCTAACTGACTATGTTGTTGAAAAACATGAGATTTTCTGAATGTAGTTTTATTAATTGCTCATGGGGATATCTTTCTCATTCCAAGAGTAGAGAAACTTGTACCTGATTATCAGAAAAGTTCCCTTATTGAAGAAACGTGGCAGAGTTCTTTTATCATATTAAATGGCACACAAAGATCAGAGTTCTAGTTGATTTGGCAGTCTTTATTTGTGTATGATAGCAAGATTTGCTTTTACGAACATGAGATTTTCTATTCAAGCTCGTCTATTGTTCAACAGGTATTGGTTGATGTGTACATGGACCCCAATCTGTTAGTTGCATATGGTAAGTTCTCATCCCTGACGGTTAACTTTTTCCCGTTTATCATTCAACAAAATCTTACTAGTCCACTTCCTAGGTTTCTATCTCTTTTATGTCCAATTTCTGTTTCTCTAATTGATTTTGCATATTTTGTCTTATGCTGCAGTTCCGGAGGAGAATTTATGTGCTCCAGATAAACCAGACATGGTGAGGATAATAATCACCTCCTAATAAAAGAGGGTTATGTTCATCTTGTAACTTGCTTTGATAAAATCCTGCTTGCCTATGTGTAGGAAAGATTTGACCATCCCTATGCGTCATTCTTGTTTTATGGGACGGATGCTGCTGGAGACTTCATCCCAATCAAGCAGCTGAGGGAAAAATACAACAGGCCACGGCATGAGATTCCCTATGATCCGGACAATGAGCAGAATGGAGATGACATCTGAATGGCACAGTGCTAGATGGGAGTCAAGGAGCTTCAGGAGAGGCAGAAACCATTTTTTTGTACCATTTTGCAATAGATATTGACACAACTTCTTCAGTATGAAACGCTCTTGAGCAGCTCGTCTGGAGCATCTTTAACCATGAGTTGTACATTACCTCTGATTAATGTGTGTAACACAAGGAAAAGTAGTCAGTGGAGATCTTGAGGGCCAAATTCAATGCTGCTTTTGTAAACTCAAGAGTAGTTTGTTTTACTGTACAGAAACAGATGTCCTGATTCTTTGTTGGACTGTAGGATTTGCTACTGGAATAATTTAGCATGTTGGCTTTGTTCAGAGATTTAGTATGCGGATATGTTATCCCATAAATCATGAAAAACTAACGCAAGCTTAAAGGCAGAGCATCCTGCAACCGCCCCTGAAAAAATTGAGGCGGCAAAGGAGATGCCCGTGGTAAATGTACTGTCGCTGCTAACATGTTCCAGTTTTATGCTCAAGACATCCAAATCAAGAAGGTTGTACAGCTTCTAAGGGAATGCTCCCTTAAATTTTTCGTTGTGCCAGAATGTTTATCACTTGGGACTAGGTAGCGAACCACACCTCTTATTTTAATTGAATAGCAAAATGTATTGATGGGTTTGATTCACCCCATTTGACGTAACATCTTGGGCACCAATACGAGATTAAAGTCCCTAGTATGTAATAAACGAATTAGTCATTTCTAGCATGTTTTCAACTTATTCTTTCACACAAAAGCAATCATTTTACTTCATAATACTACTATTCTTTCAATTATTCCCTACTTCTTTCTTTTCTAAAAGAATAGAAATAATCAAGACCTACTTCTTTTCTTTTCTTTTCCTTTCCCTACTTCTTTCTTTTGTATATAGTACTAATACTATGTAGTAATAATCGAGACCTGAGTAGGATTTATGCGGATGCCAAAACATTTTCATAGTTTGGAAAAAGTTTATCATTACATAATGAAAAATCAAATCGCGTACACCACGCATTAGATTGGCCTAAAAATTTTTAATCACATTAAACTTTTTTTTTTCTATGAAGTTTACTGTCATTAAATGGCGTTTATGAATTACGGGAGTGTAAAATTGGAAATTATTTCTATTGAGCGAAAGCATAAATTTGGAATAAAGAAAAATTAGAGGGAAACACATAAATGACAAGGGCTTCAATAACATATTGATATTTGGAGTGTGAGCTTCAGGATTGAAGAACGTGTATTTAGCCATTTCCTATCTTTTATCTGTTTGGTAATCTATACAAAGTAGCTCTTAACTTTTATCGGGTTAGTTCCAACTTTTGTCAAACATGATTCTCTAAAAACTGGATTATTGAATTTTATCAAACATAACTTGTATGTGATCCCAATTTTGATGAACGCAAAACATGGCTCCAAAAGCTCTGAGTTTAATATGGTTAATCACCTTCCTGATGAAAGCTTGTAATTCTTGCTTCATATAAAAACTGCAGAGCGGTGAAAGTTGTTCTTCATAGCAAGACGCTCTGTGCTCTTGAATCCCGATTGCTTTACCCCTTCAAGTCTAGTTTAAAACAGGAAACCTTGCCTCTGCTCTATCCTCTAGCTTGGGTACCACAATGAGAGATTGAAACTTGTATATATGACTTAGGCTGGGATTTTTAGGCAGTTCATATACAGTATTAAAAAAGATGACATTGTACATGAGACTGTTTAGAGCTTGCTCGACCTCCACGACGCTCACCCAAATACATGGACACCTCATAGTCACTGGACTGTACATGGACCCTCTTGCTTCCACCAAGCTTATAGAGTCCTATGCACAAATGGGCCCTTTTGAATCTTCAAGACTTGTCTTTGATCACTTTCAAAATCCAGATTCTTTCATGTGGGGGGTAATTGTCAAATGCCATGTTTGGAATGGCTTCTTTCAAGAATCTATTTCTTTGTATCACCGCATGATATACAAATCGGCACAAATTAGCAGCTTTATATATCCATCAGTTTTAAGGGCTTGCTCTGCAATTGGTGATTTTGCTTTTGGCCAAAAGGTTCACGGGAGGATTATTAAAAGTGGGTTTGTGTCTGATTTTGTTACTGACACCTCTTTGTTGAACATGTATGGTGAAATGGGACGTTTAGATAGTGCAAGGAAAGTGTTTGATTATATGTCTGTGAGAGATGTTGTTTCCTGGAGTTCGATCATATCTAGCTATGTGCAGAATGGAAGGGCTAGTGAAGGGCTGCATATTTTTGGTCAAATGATGATGGAAAGTTCAGAAATTGATGAAGTCACCATGCTCAGTGCGGCTGAGGCTTGTGGTGAGTTGGGTTTGTGGAGACTGGCAAGGTCACTTCATGGTTTTGTTCTCAGAAGAAATATTCAAATTGTTGGGGCGTTGGGTACTTCTCTTGTTGCAATGTATGGAAAATGTGGTGATATGTGTAGTTCAGAGGGACTTTTTACCCAGGCTGCTTTCAAGAATACATCTCTATGGACGGCAATGATTTCGTGCTATCATCAAAATGGATGCTACCATGAGGCTTTAAGAACGTTTGTTGAGATGCAAGGATCAAATGTGGAACCCAATGCAGTCACTTTGATGTCTACTGTATGTTCCTGTTCTAGGTTAGGTCGGCTAAAAGAAGGAAAATCAATTCATGGTTTTGTCATTAGAACTGCTGTTGACACTGAGAATGATCTTATGGGACCAGCATTGATAGATCTATATGCTAATTGTGGAAAGTTAAAGGAATGCCACAAGGTTTTTGAAGTAACTCAAGACAGGCGTGTAGTGTCATGGAACCTGCTCATATCAAATTATGCTCGGGAAGGAATGACTATTGAGGCTATTAAGCTCTTTAAGCAAATGCTTGTAGAAGGAATTCAGCCAGATTCATTTACTCTATCAAGTGTAATATCAGCATGTGGTGATATAGGATTTTCTCTGCTTGGATGTCAGATACATGGTAGTATTCTAAAGACAGGATTCTCAAGTGAGTTTGTCCAGAATTCACTAATTGACATGTACTGTAAATGTGGACTGCTTGGTTCAGCACACATGACATTTGATGACGCCAAACAAAGAGGTGTTGTAACATGGAATACTCTAATAACTGGACTTTTGCAAAATGGTAAATCTGAAGAAGCCATGGCTCTTTTTAGTGAAATGTATGCATATGCTCTTGAAATGGATGAAGTCACCTTCCTGAGTGCAATCCAAGCCTGCTCAAATCTAGGATATATAAGGAAAGGAAAATGGATTCACCATAAGATGATTACATCTGGTATGAGAAAGGATATGTATATTGATACAGCTCTAATAGACATGTATGCAAAATGTGGAGAGCTTCAGATAGCCAGAAAAGTTTTTGATAGCATGCTGGAAAGGAGTGTGGTGTCATGGAGTACCTTACTAGGAGCTTATGGGATGCATGGTCAAGTTGATGCGGCCATTTTAGTATTCAAAGAAATGGTAGAATCAGGAATAAGACCAAATACTATTACATTCATGAATATCTTGTCTGCTTGCAGCCATGCTGGTAATTTGGAAGAAGGGAAGAAGTTCTTTAATTCAATGAGAAATGATTTTGGCATTGAACCTAACTCTGAACACTATGCTTGTCTAGTTGATCTTCTAAGTCGCGCTGGTGATCTAAATGGAGCATACAGTGTCATCCTTTCAATGCCATCCCCTGTAGATGCAAGTATTTGGGCTGCACTAGTGAATGGCTGTAGAATCCACCAACGAATGGATGTCATAAATAGTATCAGAGAAAGTCTTTTAAATATAAGGACAGATGATACTGGATACTATACTTTATTGTCCAACTTATATGCAGGAGGAGGAGAATGGGGTAAATTTAGGATGATAAGGTCAACCATGAAAAGGAAAGGTCTAGAAAAGGTCCAAGGTTGCAGTATGATTGAGATTGATAAGAAAATACATAAATTTGGAGCAAATGACAAGTCGCATTTGCAGATAAAGGGTTGCAACTTGTTGGCCAATTTTCTAAGTTCAGGTCTCAGTAAGATTGTTGAATTAGATGCTTCTGTTATTTGATTCAAGCAGGGTGCAGCAAGTATAATACTAAATGAATCACCAGCAAGATTTGAAACCTGGTTCTCAGTTCTGGGAACTTTGATGCTGTCCAGACAACTACATAATTGGCGTGGTCAACAAATTCAGGGGAAACTGGCTGATAATCATTGACTGCTTTAATGTCTTTGGTTTAGCCTTCTTGATTAGTCATCCAGCCCTCCGCGGATAACTGGATATAGTGCACTTGTACCTGGGGCCTGTTTGAATAAGGGTATCATCAATAGGAGGTGGAGATACAATAAATTGTGTGTGAGCTACAATCTCCGTGATCTGAGACAGTGACAGAGATGATTGACAATCTGTAAGTAATCGAGTTGGACACCAAAAGTTAAACTCTGTTTATCAGTGCATCTCTTATACTGTGCATGTTAGCATGTGCAGATGGAAGTAGACTTGGGATACCATCACTTGCATGCCATATCACGACAAATCAACGACCCAATAAGATTTTCGTAAGTTGTAAATGTGCTGCAAAGATTGATTGCACCTGCTCTGAGCAAGATAAGCCATATATCATGTTTATTAATTGGAGAAATTAGAAAGTACAAGGCGCAAAGGAATGACGTCACAAGTTCTGAATAGCTAAGTCCTGGGTCTTGCAGAAACCTTGCGGGCTGATAAACATCTTCATTATCAAAATGAGTGATGTACATTCATCACATTGTACAAGTACTTTTCAATACATGCAAGTTTGTTTCATGCCAAAATTTCTGCTAAATGTTCCCAAATTCGAACAATGATGAAGATTTATCCCAACTATGTTCACATTAGATCCTGCATAATTTCATGTACTTTTAAGGCTTGAGAGCAAACCCCGAGGGTTTTGGCCATCCAATTCAAACGGAGTCTGTAAAATTGGACCTGTCATCTCTTTCTAGTTTCTGCCTGCTCACTGAATATCATCCCCTAGGAAATTGACTTCCGCTCCATAGATGCCTGCAGAAGACTAAAAAGGCTAGGGTCAGCATTCTACTTATCTTGAATGTGGATTTTAAATCTAAAGCCATAAAATAGCAGACAACATTTGATACTAACCAACTTTGTCAAATGTCTACCTAAGTCAGCAAATCGTTATCCTGAAATCTTTTGTACTTCAAAGTCGCAGCATATGTTTGTCTAAACCCTTCACTCAAATCAAGTGCTTTGCCATCTTGAAGGGCTCAGATGAAGCTGTACCAAGAGATTCTCATGTAGTCTTTCACCACAAACTGTACCATTCTAGGCAGTACTCAAAGAAAAAGAA